AAGAATAGAATACTTTTGACTAGAAAGATACCTCCACCTTATCTAAATGAACCTATCTTGGTAAAGGAACAATTAAATATAAAAATATCTAGTTTTGCTAAGTTAAGGTAAGCAAAACCACCACCAATCACAGTCCCTTTAATATTATCAAATTCTTCATCCATTATTGATGCTGAAATTTCCTCAAACAATGTCTATTAAAGTATTAGATTTAACTAAATATTTCCATTCACATATAAGAAATCTCCATCTGAAAATGAGGTAGAATTCAAAATAAAGAAGTAGCTAAGGTCAAGATCTATAATTTTTGTTTCTAAATCATTTTATTCAGTATAATCTAAATAAATTGATCCACCTCGATAAGCACTTCCAAAGATGAAATCAGGTCTCTAAAATTTGAATTTAAAGCAATTAGTGCAAGCAATGTTTCCTCCATATTAGAATAATCAAAATTGAATGGTTGAAAGCTTGTGTTACATGTGACATTCGTATCAGATATTTGTAAAATAATTCTTGGTGTTTGTTTAATATAGACAGCTAACCCAATGCTTATTTGATTAGTATCCTCAATAATTGACCTACTAATTGCCACCATATTGATCGCCTTCCTATCTTGTTATCCTTTTGCATACAGAATTCCACCATATTTAGTACTTCGGACATTCTTAAATTTACAGTCCAAAAATGTTAAATTACTGAGAGATAATCTTGCTATGACAAATGCTCCTCCATAATTGGATGCTTGTGAATTGATAATGGTTGTATTGAATATTAAAAGTTAAATAGCAGGTTGATTTTCATAACTATTAATAATTCCAATAGAGCCATAATCTCCATTTATATTTTCAAAGTGAGAATTAGAAAATAATCTCATCTTACCAAAGTTCTACTTGCTAGTATCTGAAATATAAATAGTGAATATCCTTGTTTGAGAATTATAAGAAAATAGTTCATCAGTTGGCAAGTCCATATTGATGTTTAATACTCTCAAATTATTTAATACTATATCTTCTGAATAAAAAAAGAAATGATTCATGTTTTAAGCACAATTTATACATTTCACACTGTCTATGACTAGATATTATACATAGATATAATCTACAGATGGTTTCATAGGTTTATTCATACCATCAAGCACATAGCTAAAAGTATTAACATGAAACATTGCTGTAAAAGATTACTTACTAGTTATATCTGAATATGAAACTGATATCATTATTGTAAGTATCATCGTAAAAAAGCTAATGTTAAATATATTGAGTCCATTTATATTCAATCCTCCAAGCAAGCATGTTTCTTCTAATGCGTAAATAGGGTGAAGATTTCCATACTTCTTTTTGTCTATTAGTAAAGATATTAATAAATATTATAATATGATGTGGTTAGATAATAATTATTTATTTAAGTTTATCATTAAATTTTCATTATTTAACTTACAAATTACACTAGATGAATTAAACAATCCGAGCTCATCTGTAAGGTACTTATTATTGATCCCAACCGAATTAGCCACGGTATTATTGAAAATGATGATTGCTACATAGAAATTATTCCATGTAAAGCAACTATCCCTTATCAGAAGAGTATTGAACCTGCAGGTTAATGAATCCCTCTGAGTAAATATCCTCTAAAATAACATAACTCACACTCTACAAGAATATCTAGGATTTGAGGAGATAATTATTCAGATCATCAATTGAAAGGCCTTAATCATTAGTTGCTTAATATGTATAATTAAATTATTATGGTTCTACTTCTGATTAATCTTCTTCTATTAATCTAAAAATGCTCTCATCTATCTTATTCAAGAATGGAATCAGATCATTAGCATTCTCTCCATTATTAATAAATTATTCTTTAGAAAACTCAATTCTCATTAGCCCATATCCAGTAATTAAACCTTCTTTGTTGCCTGCATAATTTTTATTATAAGTATTCTCTTTAAGTGATACCATATATAGATCCATTCTTAAGGTTTCATCTTGGTACTGAAAATCTTGAATATTTTATGCAGTTATTGTGCTATAGTCAAAGTCCCTGTAGTACATTTATTGTATATTATTGATATCAACTAACTTAGATATATCATCATTAGCAGCTAGATCATTATGCTAATTAGGATTATAGCATTCAATATTAACTATTGATCCACCTACGATCGCGCATCCAAAATTTTTTTCAAATAAGTTTTACTAAATTGAGACGCCAGTACAAAATATACTAGAATTAGTGATTGGAACAGTGTATTATTGCACAGATTTTAATCGTATATGTATTGCTACTGTTTGGAAATAAGCTGCATTTTGAATAAACTAGTTTTTAGCTATCAGAATTGGATAAAGACTCTAAACTGACTCCTCAACTTAAATATTAATGAGGCCTTTGATCACTGAATTTGCTTGAAAAATATTGCCAATTATTTATATTCCATGTTTATGCTCTTAAATGGAAATCAAATGTTTGAGTTGATATTTGTCTTTTTCTCCTAGAAGACTATAATCATCATTATGGGCTCAGTAGATAAATCTTTTAGGTAATTCACTTGTGACTGAGCAGGTTTTATATCCTAGAGTGTTATTGTAAAAATAACTATCCTATATTGTGATGTTTCCAGGAAAATCGACAAGATGGAGATTTTACCGTAGTTAATCATCTTGTATTTTGAACCTACTTATGATAAAAAGCTAGACTTTTCCACTAAATGATTCAACTGAATCAACTAGGTATTAGAAATGTTAATCGAGAAGCAAATAGGCTTAGTCAAGTCAGTGGCAGAACAATAATTTGTGAAAGGAGAATTTGTCAAAGTAGACTCTAAAGTTAAAGTTGAATAAACTTATTGCTAAAGTATATTGGACCTAATCAAATACATCTCAACAGCAGTTTAAATAGGTTATTAAGGATTAGGAGGATTGTATGTTTATTTTAAATTTCTAATAATTGAGCCACAAGTAGCAAATCGTTCAAATATGGTATCAAATATCTCTAAATAGCCGCCATAAGAGTTGGTTTCAATAAATGTATTATAATGGAAATAAAGATTTCTGAAAACGCAATTCTGTTAAGGTATTTTATAGATATAGAGTGGAAATTGTCTTCGAAGTAATATCAAACTTGATAAAAGAATATCCATCAGAAATCTGACATTGATCAGTCCTATTAATAATATTTAATGTTCGAATACTTACGCTTTAAATGTACTTTTACAACCATAGTTACCATTATCTATAAAATTGCTTGAATCTGAATTGATATTGCAGCATTAGAGTTTCTTACTCAAGCATTCATTCTTATCTTTAGAAGCTATATTATATTTAAAGCGTTTTAAAAATTTTACGTAAGATGATGGAATCAATCCAATCAATTACAATGTTCTTTATTATTAATCCTGAACCTACTGTTAATGTGAACTAATCCCTAAACTTGTTGAAAATCGTAACTTTTTCATGATCCTCAACACATAATCTTAGATTAGAATTGTTCTAAGAGCAAAATAGAGGCTGGATTGTGATATTTGTAACTTAGTGTGTATTGTCAAATCTAGAAGGCATATAGAAAAGTTTTGCTGATCTCAAAATGTAATGATCACCTTTATACAAATTTATTTCAACTGAGCAAGTAACTATTGAAGATGCACAAAGTTCGACTGTTTTACGAATTGCATCATCAACACTGTAAAAGGGAGTGTTGTATCCATCTGATTCTATATTAGGCTTGTAATTAGCAGATTGATTTTCAGCTGACACATAAAGTCTGTAGTATTTACTAGTAGCTGTCTTAGTAACACAAGTTCCATAAGTAACTCCTTGCTATTAGTATTCTAAGTACTAGCCGACTTTCCATTTTGTACATTAATTGCTAGAGGAGCCTATACAAGAAGAACAAGATGAATCACAATCTATATGGAAATAAAATCATAATTTAGTGTATGCATACCTTAGCAATAAGATTAAGATGTTATGCCTTTTACACTAAACACAAATTCAGGATATTTCCAGGTTGGACTATAAGGAAATAAAAATATTATTATAAATTATCCTTACCATGTTGACTGGCAAGCACCATTTACAAGAAAACCATTCAAACAACTGCTGCAAACTGTTTCTTGCTAATTTTAAGGATATAGCTGACAACTAGCACAATCAGTATAGAACTTACTATATCCTAGCTAATTCTCATTACAGTCTAAAATTTAATGATCAAATTGATCAATTACCTAAACATTATCTCTTGTAGGTTCCTGTGGTTGACTAGAAAATAGAAGTTATCGCAGTTTTGGTTTTGCATAACTCACAATCATAATTAGCATTGCATTCTAGACAGTTTTCCATTTTACAAGAGGAGCATAATGACTTAGAGTTAACAAAGTATTAATCTAAGCACATCTTACAGTTCATATCATTACCCTCCTCGCCCTATATACAGTTATCTAAGATACTGTTAATTCCATTCTAAGAACAAGTTTAATTGTATTTAGATGAACATCTTAAGCATTAATTGACGTCATTTGGATCACAAGATAAGCAGTATTTATTATTATTGCAAGCTAAAACATATTAGTTAAATTAATATTTTGAATGAGATCGCTTGAAACTAGGGAATGAAAGATATTTTTACTTACGAACACATTTTTTTGCAGTTTAGTTAAATGTTGCAGATGAGTCTAAGGCATTTACCCATCCTTAATTGCCAGTGTTGTAGGGAGAGCATGTCTCACAACCAAGTTACAAATTACAAGATTTGCAATATTTTCCACAATCCTGGCATTTCTGCGTCACGGGATTATTAATGTGTTGATAATGAGCTTGCTAGCAATCTGCGACACAAAATGAAAATTAATCAGGATATAGTGTGCTAAGCTTATTGTTTTAAAGTAAGTATAAACCATCATAGAAACGTTCGCATTATACAAACTAACTAGAACCTTGAGATACAGCTTTATACATTCGACACCCATATATAAAATTGGAACATTCTAAAATATCAATATTTTTTTAATCTTTACTTTTACATCGAAAATCTGCGAGAGAAAAAAGCTCATCGACATCACCTATACCAAACTTATGAATATATATTAAATCTTACATTCTCTTTACCCTAAAGCTAGTTCTATTCAAGCAGCCAATATAATAATGAACGGGATGAGTAAATAGGATCTGCTACGAGTAGTATATTTTTAGAAAGTCATATTAAGTTATTTATAACTGAGACATTAACTTAGATAAGTATCAACTCATTTATTATCTCTAAAATAACTTATTTTCTTAATGTTCTAAATTAATTTCATAGATATTTTAAAACTTACGAAGTAGACGCTATGGGGTTTTGGGGTTTTGGGGTTTTG